AATGAAACTCTTCACGCAACCCACTTAGATTAGACAAAATTGGCTTTTTTAAATTCAATGTTTGCTCGAGAATCAATGACGTCATATTACTGTGTGCACTCTCCGGCTTGATACTATTTTCTACTATATGCTAAATGTGACGTCATATTTCGTTTCCGTCTTACTGTGCATGTTTTTAATTTGCGTGTGTTTTCTCTATAGCGTTCTTGTCAGATACAAACGCTGATAGATAGATACACAGATAGATAGACAGACAACGAAACTATTATATATATATATATATATATATATATATATATATATATATATATATATATATATATATATATATATATATATATATATTCAATTAAAGATGTGTATATTACAAAATAATATTTAGCTAAAGGAATGTATTTTCTTACGTACATTGCAGAACCTACGATTACAATATAGCTGCTATTTTTTTTAATGTGGTCATATTATATTAGTACATGACATGTTTTGCTCAACATAAAAATTTTGACTCCATTTCAATTATCTCACATATGCATTCGGGATAAATATGCAAGTATAATCTTTTCTTCGTAAAATAACATCTGTGTGTCTTGTATACATTTCTGAAAGTTACTTTTAGAGGTTTTAGAATTGTAAAATCATGTTTTTAAGGTAAACTTGGAAACCTAGACTGGTTAACTCCGCACACTTAGGTGCGTATTTAGAAACAAAATATATTTCTTTTCGCTACAGATGTGTGGTTTTGCAGTTTACCTTAAGTTTTTCAAGATAACACATTATAAAGAACGAGACGACCCGCGGCATATCATACGACGCTATTTAGTTGTTTTATTTTTTACTTTTAAGTAATTCATAATTTGTGAATTCAACAGTACCAATGCTGCCACTGAAAATATTTGCTTTAAAACACTATCAGTAGGTCGTTAAGGACGATACTACACCCACCCTCCTTTCCCCCAACCCCTACCCCCACCCTCCTTTCCCCCAACCCCTACCCTACATCCCCCCCCCCGTGAAAGCAGCCTCCTCTTAGTTACCTCCCCTAAGTTTAAAATAGTTTCAAACTAAATTATCTGCCCCTAATAGCCGTCACTAAACCCGACTCTACGAAAGTAAACATTCAGCGTGAACCACAGCTCACCAGACCATGTAGGGGTGGGTAGGTTGGGAGCGCGCTTACAGCTTGTTTTCCAGCGTCTCCCAGAAGAGAATTATATATATACATTATGCAAAAGTTTACAAGGATAACTTTTAGTCACTGCACTAAGTTGAAGAAAAGAAAATGATTTTCCTTTCAGATAGGCATGCACCACTATTTTCATAACCTCATTATCCATTTTTATTTTTTCTCAGCAAAATTCTTAAGATTATAAAGCTTTTAAAAAGTTTGTATTTCATTCACTGACAAAATTGGTTATATTGGTATTTCTGAAGACAGGCAGATGTAAACAGGATGTATGGTATATAGAAATATATAATGTATCGCACCATTGCCGGCCGTCATAGTCTGTTGCTTTCCACCTGCTCTTGTCCCTCTTTTCAGCTAAGTTTCACCTTCAATTTACGGTGAGAGAAAACTAGGCACGAAGGATTTTGTTAGACGACAAGTTAGACAAAAACATCCTGGTGTGGTTTTCCGGTAACAAAAAATGAAGTAATACACATTTCCGTGTCACTAATCTCAACTCAAATGATGCCGTAAATTTGTAAAATTATATTTATTTATAGATCGTCACTTTTGACTCACAAAGCCTGTGAATTTCGATAGCTAGTGTATAGATAAATGGTATTCTGGGAATAATAAAACATTAGATTCTCACAGCTTGTGTATACTTTTAACTCAGTTCTGTTAGGTTAGCGCTTTACCAAAAAGTCGTTTGTATTGACGAATAAATTAAATAGGCCTACAGAGTATTTCGTTAGTGTTACCTGTCATGAACATATCGTATCCTGAAATTAAACTTATAATTCGCTTATTAAAATTAAAAGCTTAGATACCTTTTCTATAGAAGACACTTTAGATCACACTTTGCCACACTATGTGGAACAAAATATTTTAGCTAGACGTGTTTCAAAACATGTGCACGAATGATCGCCTACTTGATATTGCTAGTAATTATTGATAGAATAAATAATATTTTTGGCTGATTTGACTGTAAAACGTATTATTCTAACAGAAAAAAGAACAGCAGATTTAAAACAAGCGTGTTTTCTAAACATACAATGAAGACAGTGAATAAGTTCTTATATAAATGTCGTGTTCGATTGATAAAGCAAATATTTCCAGTTCGGTACCTACTACGGTACTGAGCTACCCCAGCTCTGTTTTATACCTGGCATATGATGGGGAATTAAAGCTAATGTATCTGTTGCTTACAGCTGACTATGTTGCTATTTTATATATAAAAACAAATCAACTTTATATCAGGAAAATACTAAGGCGTTTCTCTTACTACTAAAAGCCTGAGAACTTATTTGCTTGCACGTTTTAAAATTAATATATTAAATTGATAGAAAATATTTTCAAATTTATTTTCTAAAACGTATTTCTAAAAAAAAAGAAAGCAATATATGATAATGTAAAGTATTTGTTATCATGAGGAAGTGTAATGTACAAACCTCTTTGAAAAAATTTGATTTGTTTTTAACATCCACTGTTGACATGACGTCGTTGATTGCTTTACACATAGCTGCCATACCCCACAGATTAAGTCATACTTGATTCTTGTAAAAAGTTTCATTTTCTTTTCAAATAAACAGGATATTTAACGCAAGAAAGCTGACTGGCTGCATTCCAAACGAAAAACAGTACCAGCATCCAACTATTCGAGAAGAACCTATTCAAAACTTCCTGGTTCTCAATGAATAGATTGCATTGACAACGTACACTGTTGCTGAGATTTCAATGGGTACTGCGGGCGAAATGTTCAATGCCATCAACTCTTTATACAGGTTATAATAACCCAGACAACTATAAAAACGCCGTGCTAAAAATACTGAACCAGCGGTATACAAGATGTTATCTTGTCAGGTTGCAGTAAGTAGCAAAGCATGTTTCAGATAATACTCCTTTTTACATTATAGTTGATTATAGTTGATTTGTTTATATACATTGTATATATATATATATATATATATATATATATATATATATATATATATATATATATATATATATATATATATATATATTCAATTAAAGATGTGTATACTATAAAGTAATATCTAGCTAAAGGAATGTATTTAGCCTACTTACGTAGGTAAATTGTAGAACCTGCGATTACAATGTAGCTGCTATATTTTTTAATGGGGTCAAATTATATTAGTACATGACATGTTTTGCTCAACATAAGAATTTTGACTCCATTTCAATTATCTCACATATGCATTCAGGATAAATATGAATGTATAATCTCTTCTTCATAAAATAACATCTGCGTGTCTTGTATACATATCTGAAAGTTACTTTTAGAGGTTTTAGAACTGTAAAATCATGTTTTTAAGGTAAACTTGGAAACCTAGACTGGTTAATTGCGCACAGTTAGGTGCGTATTTATTTAGAAACAAAATATATTTCTTTCCGCTACAGATGAGTTGTTTTGCAATTTACCTTAAGTTTTTCAAGATAACACATTATAAAGAACGAGCCGAACCGCGGCGTATCATACGCCGCTATTTAGTTGTTTTATTTTCTTCTTTTCAGTAATTCATAATTTGTGAATTCGACAGTACCAATGCTGCCACTGAAAATATTTGCTTTAAAACACTATCAGTAGCTCGTTAAGGACGATAACTCCCCCTCCTTTCCCCCAACCCCAACCCCCCCCCCCTCCCCGTGAAAGCAGTCTCCTCTTAGTTACCGCCCCTAAGTTTAAAATCGTTTCAAATTAAATTATCTGACCCTAATAGCCGTCACTAAACCCGGCTCTACGATTGTAAACATTTAGCGTGAACCACAGCTCACCAGACCATGTGGTGGTGGGGGTGATAAGGATATGCTTAAAGAGAAAGAAAGGGGCTGCTAGGGGCGCTTACAGCTTGGTGTTTTCTATGTTCTCCGAGGAGAGAATTATTATATATAGATAATATTTATTAAACTTGATATAATGCATACACATAAGTTAAATATTAAAATATGTTAATAGTATTAAATTAATGTTTAACAACGATGAGCTATATGTCATTAATTTAACAATTTCATCTTATTGCATTCACAGAACAAGGCACACTACGCTGCAATTAAAAAGTGACCGCGATACATTATTTAAAAAATAATAATAAGTGTTTAATATATCGTGTTTAAACGCAGAGTAGGCTAAGACAATGGTAATTCACGCGATATTTGTTTCATTAGTAATATCTTCACTTCTGCAACATGTTGAGTGTCAACAAAACGAGATTGTCTTTGAGTCTCTTTATAATAATACAACTGGAAATAAACATATCTTACTTGACAATTTGAATATGTAAGTACTTTACGATTGTTTAACACATAAAATACTTATATATCTTAGGATTTTTATTTCATTAAAAAGCGAAACGACTGAAATTGGTATTAAAAATTGCTTACTATTTTTTAAAAACAAGTTATTTTAACTAATATATAAATTTAATTATTCTATTACAGTTTTATGGACTGTTTGTTCAGCAAGAATTCGCGTTGTCGTGCCCACTATATTTTTAACGAACCATCAAATGTTTATGAAGTAGATAAGATTAATTTGGAAGGCCAAGGCGATGCTCAAGGAATTTATTACTGTTTAGACAATGATACTTCATTCGAAGTATATTGTACCAATGTATTCAATAAATTGACCTGCCCTTTGAAGTCATGCAGTTATTTTCCTCTTACTGTCGTGTGGGTAGGGACTCTGTTATATATTGATACGGAAATTATTAGCAACTGTTCTCTGACTTGCTCCGAATACGGTAAAAACAATGTTATTGCATATACACGGTTTACATCATCTACTTTATCTGTAACTAGCGTTAAAAAAGTTCAGATGGCTTCAGTTACTAGCTGGATGCAAAACAACACAGACCATTTTTACTATCAAGAAGATCAAGGAACAAATGGTGTAAACGTCGACTCAAAGAATACCACAGAAAGCATACTAACAAATGCTACAAACGATTACTTAATTAGCACCACCGACAGCATACCAATAGATGACCAAAACATAGATGTAACTAGTACCACAGACAACATACCAATAGATGACCAAAACATAGATTTAACTAGTACCACAGACAACATACCAATAGATGACCAAAACATAGATGTAACTAGTACCACAGACATAATACCAACAGGTGACCCACACTTCTACACAACTATCAAATTTATCCATAATACAGATATCAGACCAACTTATGGACTAAACGACGATTCAAGTAAAACCACATCACGCTTTTCTACAAAAAGCCCAACAGTCTACTCAAAGAAAACCACAACTAGCATTTCAACTAAAGGCCCAAGTATCTACTCAAGTAAAACCACAACTAGCATTACAACAAAAAGCCCAACTGTCTACTCAAATAATACTACAAATACTATAACAACAACAGTACCAACAGTCTACTCAAGTAAACTCACAACTAGGATTACAACAAAAGGCCCAACTATCTACTCAAATAATACTACAAATACTATAACAACAACAGTACCAACAGTCTACTCAAGTAAAACCACAACTAGCATTACAACAAATATCGTCTACTCAAACAATAACACAAACAGCATACCAACAAAACGCCCAAGTCTCTACTCAAATAATAACACAAATGACATAACAACAAATATCCCAAACTTCGACTCAAAGATTATCGCAAATAGCATCACAACAAGTGGTAATTACGTCATATTAAATAGTACCACCTTCAGCATGACCACAAAAGGCGTCCCAGTTGACTCAAAGATTACTGCAGATGACAATGAGACTACAATAATTATAATATTTGTTGTTATTTTCATCGTCATACTCATTGTTGGTATTTCTACAGCAAAACTAATTCGCAGACGTAAGAAAAATAACTCGCAAAACTGTCAAACTCTAAGCGATCAACAGACAATATCTCAAGTTGGGCAGTCCGAAAATGCCTCAAACATCCACATTATTCATGAACAAGCGCTTTCAAACGAGTCCGAAATAGTCTACTACTCTAGACTAGAAATCTACGCCAATCTAAGAAATGATGAAGATAGTACATATGCGCAACCAAATAATTCGGACTCTGACAGTGATTGCAACGATTCTAGATTAGAAAACTACCACAATATAAGCAACGACCCGCAAAATGCTTATGTTGGTGTTGTTTTGTACGAAAACGTCAACAAACCAACAATTTCAAACTTAAACAACGACAGCAGAGCTGCTGAGTACAACAACGTTAAGGCGTCCACAGATTGAAGTATTTCTAACGTATGATACAGAAACATTTAGACAAAACTAGCTGTTTGAGCTAAAATGCTAATTTATTTTCCTACAAGAAGCAATCAGCGATATTTATGTGATTCATGAATTTTTGAGACCGATACGGCCTGCAAAACTTGCTCAGGGTTAGGGTTAGGGTTCGGGCTAGGGCTAGGGCTAGGGCTAGGGCTAGGGCTAGGGCTAGGGCTAGGGCTAGGGCTAGGGCTAGGGCTAGGGCTAGGGCTAGGGCTAGGGCTAGGGCTAGGGCTAGGGCTAGGGCTAGGGCTAGGGCTAGGGCTAGGGCTAGGGCTAGGGCTAGGGCTAGGGCTAGGGCTAGGGCTAGGGCTAGGGCTAGGGCTAGGGCTAGGGCTAGGGCTAGGGCTAGGGCTAGGGCTAGGGCTAGGGCTAGGGCTAGGGCTAGGGCTAGGGCTAGGGCTAGGGCTAGGGCTAGGGCTAGGGCTAGGGCTAGGGCTAGGGCTAGGGCTAGGGCTAGGGCTAGGGCTAGGGCTAGGGCTAGGGCTAGGGCTAGGGCTAGGGCTAGGGCTAGGGCTAGGGCTAGGGCTAGGGCTAGGGCTAGGGCTAGGGCTAGGGCTAGGGCTAGGGCTAGGGCTAGGGCTAGGGCTAGGGCTAGGGCTAGGGCTAGGGCTAGGGCTAGGGCTAGGGCTAGGGCTAGGGTAATACGGGGGGATGTCTGGGGGTAATTTTCGAGGGGGGGTTGTAATGTCATGTAGCCGTATAATATAAGGAGTTATTTTTATTTATGTTTTTTACGTATTGTTATGATTTAACATTGGTGAGTGTATAAACATTATTCTCTTTTAGCAATGTAATTAATAAAATAAAGATATTATTTAAATAAGCAAATGCACTTTTGAAATTGATTTATTTAATCAAAAGTACAAACAAGTTGAACAGCTACAACTAGAAAATTGTAAAGTTTCTTTTTCGAACCTTACGTTGAACGTGGCAAGTGAACAAGGGTTCATATGTTTCTGTGACCGCACTATACCCATATGGCTTTACTTTCCCTAACATGAGTTAGGTACACATCAGAGCTGGGTGGACTCAGATATGTTCTATTGACGTTGATAAGGATACGGACTCGAGATTTTCGGGTTAGAATTCTAGCGCGCTACTTCTTGGTCACGCCGTCACAAAACTACAACTAACAGTGCGCTTTAAAGTAGGTGGTGTGTATTCACTCAAAGAAGTATAACTGATAAGTAAAATGTTTTTAAGGTATGAGATAATTAATAATGATTTTTTTTAATAACCTACTACTTTTTGAAAAATAAATTAGCATATATTATTGGGCCTGGTATAAATTTCCTAAGTGAAGTCTTGAATTCAATAGACTTAGTAGCTTTGCAGAAAAGTAAACATGTTTTAAATGCTATCTTATAAATGTTTAGACATCTATGTCTCAAACAGTACATTAAAAACAACGTAACTTGACACAACATATAACAAGTTCGGTCTGTGTTAGTTACCTGTAGCTTACTTCCTGGTCGTCACCTGAGGTCTAGCGACCTATTCAAAACCTGGGGCGACCTATTCGTGTGGAGATATTTCCCACTCCCACACGCCCGCACCCCAACCCGCTTCTCATGTATTTAGCTATTCACGTTAGCAAAACAGAAACCATTTCCCCATTACCCCCCCCCCCCCCCCCCCACCGCAGCACATATTTAGAAATGTCCCTTAACATTTATTGTTCGTGCGATGTCACGAAAGTGATGAAGAAAGTACTTAAATCAGTGCACAAAGGCAAGTAGTTGTCTTGTTGTCTGTTTAATTAATACAGATAATAATTATCTGTATATGTCATTGTCTATCCGGTTTGGCTCTCCACCTGCCCTACCGTAGCTACGCCTCTGGTTGTTTCACTGTCTCATTTTAAATAGAAAACGACTCAAATATTTATAATTTTACTATCTTAATGTTGACATGAAAATTTTAAAATATAATTTAACTTTAAAATCCAAAATTAAGGTTTGAAAAGTTAAGAATTTGATGCTCTAAATGAAGTCAGTGAATTTACAAAATAAAGTACTACATTTAAACTTACAGCACATCTAAGCAAATAAATTTTGAAATGTTTTTTTTTTTTCACAATTTGAGAAAAATGTGTCATATAAAATGTTACTTATGTTAATGTTGGTTTCTGATGAAATAGTTTTACTATTGTATATTCAAATTAGAAGAACTGCCAAGCTTATCCTATTGCAAATTGACAATAGTTTTAGAATCTAATAAAAATTGCAAACAGACGTATCATTAAAGCTAAAACCGACAGAAAATTCAGCGCTTAAAAGCATGACTTTTTAATAATGATTGAAAAAATATTTTTATATTATTTTGGTTGTTATACGAAGAGTATAGTCAGTTAAAAATATATTTTTAGTTTAAACATGTTCTTTAATTAAAATTCGAATTGTTGCATGTACGCAACATTATGTAGTAAGGCGATACTTTTTAAGACAGTTGTTGATCTTGTTACAACAAAGATATATGTTGCACTTGTGGTAAACTGTTTGAGCTTGATGTGAATTTGCACCTGTCATTGCACTATTCCACAATACTTAGTGTCCACACAGATCCAGGATATCTAGGGTCCATACTGGTCCAGGAGATCCAGGGTCCACACTGGTCCAGGAGATCCAGGGTCCACACTGGTCCTAGAGATCCAGGGTCCACACTTATCCAGGGTCCACACTGGTCCAGGAGATCCAGGGTCCACACTGGTCATAGAGATCCAGGGTCCACACTTATCCAGGGTCCACACTGGTCCAGGAGATCCAGGGTCTACACTTATCTAGGGTCCACACTGGTCCAGGAGATCCAGGGTCCACACTTATCCAGGGTCCACACTTATCCAGGGTCCACACTGGTCCGGGAGATCCAGGGTTGACACTTATTTAGGGTCCATACTGGTCCAGGAGATCCAGGGTCCACACTGGTCCAGGAGATCCAGTGTCCACACTGGTACAGGAGATTCTAGGTCCACACTGGTCTTGTAGATCCAGGGTCCACACTGGTCCAGAATATCCAGTGTCCACACTGGTACAGGAGATTTTAGGTCCACACTGGTCTTGTAGATCCAGGGTCCACACCGGTCCAGGATATCTAGGGTCCACACTGGTCCAGGATATCTAGGGTCCACACTGGTCCAGGATATCTAGGGTCCACACAGGTCCAGGATATCTAGGGTCCACACTGGTCCAGGAGATCCAGGGTCCACACTGGTCTTGTAGATCCAGGGTCCACACCGGTCCAGGATATCTAAGGTCCACACTGGTCCAGACAGAATATCTACGGTCCACACTGGTCCAGGATATCTAGGATCCACACTGGTCCAGGATATTTAGGGTCCACACTGTTCCAGAATATCCAGGGTCCACACTGTTCCAGGATATCCAGGGTTTACACTGGTCCAGGATATCCAGGGTTTACACTGGTCCAGGATATCTAGGGTCCACACTGGTCCAGACAGAATATCTACGGTCCACACTGGTCCAGGATATCTAGGGTCCACACTGGTCCAGGATATCTAGGGTCCACACTGGTCCAGGATATCTAGGGTCCACACTGGTCCAGGATATCTAGGGTCCACACTGGTCCAGGATATCTAGGGTCCACACTGGTCCAGGATATCTAGGGTCCACACTGGTCCAGGATATCTACGGTCCACACTGGTCCAGGATATCTAGGGTCCACACTGGTCCAGGATATTTAGGGTCCACACTGCTCCAGGATATCCAGGGTCCACACTGTTCCAGGATATCCAGGGTCCACACTGGTCCAGGATATCCAGGGTCCAAACTGGTCCAGGAGATCCAGGAAGATACTCTGGATCAACAAGAGCGTCTACTTCATAGTATTCTTCACCTTGATTCACCTTTGATTTCTTAATGATTATGCTGAAACTAGAAGAAAAACAAGGTACTATTTAATCACCAATGCTGATGTATAAAGTAAAAAAAAAAATAGTGCAAAAGTAGGTCAACATGCATAATGTTGCAGTACTGCAACCAACGTTTTGTAAAAATTTTAAAGTAAATTATGAATTGATTTTGAAAACAACACATACAATATGTAATACATACCTTAGGTGGTCAGAAACATATTTTATACAATTCCAAAAGCAGTTTATTTGACTTTGATGAACTTTGAAACGCCAACCAAAAATGCTGAGATAAAAAACCTTCTGATCATGCACACATTTGAGATCGGCTTGGCGGTAAAACAAATCTAGGTCACTTAGACATGCGCAAGCTGTAGGTTAACATTGTAGCAGTCAAACAACGTGATGCACAGAATAAAACATGTTTAGGCTGATATTTTATGCGAAGGTATCTGGTATGTTGCATGTTTGTACCGGTATGCATTTAATGGTTAGCTGTATACTGCGCTTAACGTTTTAATGGGCAACATGATCTTCATGGAAGCCCGACCTGTTTGTTGTAAAAATAAATAAATTAATCAAGTGACGTCACTGAGCCAGGGAAAGTTTTAAAAAAAAATTGTGAAAATAAAGTACTTGTTCTAAAATTTTTAGAATTATAGGGGTGTTTCTACAAATGAATATATATATATATATATATATATATATATAGAGAGAGAGAGAGAGAGAGAGAGAGAGACAGAGAGAGAGAGAGAGAGAGAGAGAGAGAGAGAGAGAGAGAAAACTAAGTATCCTCTTTATATAAGTTTGTGCATACCATTTTAGGAATAAAGAGCATTATTCTCTATATACTTATTTTACTTTTACGTAGATGTGTTAAATAGAACCATCTTAACCCGACAGAATATCACACGCTTGTTCTTTGTTGGTTTTATTGTAAACTACTTCCTGGTTTTACAATCTTTACGCTTTTATTTAAACGAATGAACGACACGAATGATGTTATTGTATAGCGTTACATGTCTTGTAGACTCTAGGTTAAAGTATATTTTAAGAATCATATTGAGTTTCATATGTGATTTAGCAGACTGTG